TGTAAACAAAATTTTATTACTTGCCTTTATATTTTTTAATAATTTGAGTTTATTTGAATTATTAAGAATTGTTTAGAATAATACCGTATACATATGCGCGTATTATTTTCTTGTGTATATAATTACAATTATAACTTTCAAGGAAAAATATTTTGGCAATTAAAACAATTTCTATATAAGATTAAATTGTTTGAGAATTGCAAAACCAAAAATTTATTTACATAAATAATAGTATTTGCATTTATTGTAATCATCGAAAATAAAATTTACAAATATTTTAAATGTATAATTAAAAGTTTGAACTGTGTGTCCTTATTTAACATAACGTGACGATTCAAGATCTAACATATGCGATTAATTAAGAAAGGCAAGATATCACACGTTTTTAACCAAACGTTTTTTCATTTAAAAAAACAGTGGCGGCCAAATATTAGCAGAGTATGAAGAACGCATGAAGATTATCGAAAGTAGCTATCCATTTAAAACCGAAACAATGGACTTACCGGAATCGTCTATGGAGTCGTTTCCTGCAAAATCTTCCTTTACGGAATCATTGAACGCGACAGAGAATAGGGATAAATATCTCGAACTATATCGTGAAATATTTAAACAATGGTCAGAAATAAAAAAAGAATATGATGATCGCATACAGGCACTAGTAAAAGAAATTGAGATAATTTTTACTTTTTAGAGCTCGAACAAATCTCTCAAAAAGATATTTTAGACAGTAAGACCGAAAACAGTGAAAGCGTCAAAAAATCGAAGGATTATCAAAATAAGAAAATAAGAATTGTTAAATGCGTTAGAAGATTAATGAGATACGTTATTTAGATCTGCGTTCGCTCCAGTGGAAAATTCGGAAGTAGAAAATCTACAGATTCAACAACAAATATTCATGATATTACATTAAGTTCATCTATTTCTATATCAGATAATCGACCGAAAACTGCGAGCGATGAGGAATTTGTGGAAGCTATGGATTCTACAGAATGGTTATCGACATCAGTGACTGAGAATAGACTAAAACACCGAGATGAAATCAACCAACATTTGGAAATGACCATTGATATTGTAAAATCACTTCATTTAAAACTTAGAGTAGTTGATAGAGCTCAAAAAGACGAGGAACCGGAAGAATTTCCACATAAAAAGACAAAGAAACGAAATGTTCGTCGAAATGTCTTGTTTTGTTAAGTTTCATAATCTTATTAATATTATTCCCATTTCTATTTCTGTTGCTATACCGTTCTGGACTTTTGGATATAAATCAGAATGATGAGCCACTTTGATGCGAAATACGCGCCTTAAGATTTATCGTTGCAATATAATTATGTATTATTTAAGGTAAAATTAATAATTAATTATTAATCTTATCAAATTATTTCCCGATACTTGTCGCGATCGCGTATAGAAAAGGAATTTTATAGAGCGTCTCGCCTTACTACAGTTCTATTCAAGTGTCTTCGTATAAATGATAACAAAGCCGTGATACATAAACAATGTTTACGCGTGTCAGTGTTTACGCCGCTCAGGCCGGATACCATGTTAGGTATTGTCCTAATTTGCTAACGAAATATTTTACGTATTATAAAATATATATGTGAAATATTAAATTATATAAGTATTTTAAATTATAGATCAATTATTTATTAAACGATTAATGTACCACGAAACTTATCGTTATATTAATTATTAAATTTTGCGATTCGATCATTTTACAGCACGTTCTTAAGAGGATGCCGCACCGTCCTGTTTTACCGACCATAATAATTATATATTTGCTTAATATAAAAGTTTTGCAGTTTGTATGTACAAAATAAGATAGGTTCCCACTCGGAAATGCATGAAAGAATATAAGTGAACGTTTGAAAATGTATTTAGAAGCCTAGTAAAAAACATGTTTTTTACTAGGCTTCTAAATACATTTTCAAACGTTCACTTATATTCTTTCATGCATTTCCGAGTGGGAACCTATCTTATTTTGTACATACAAACTGCAAAACTTTTATATTAAGCAAATATTGTTACGACCTGACGCAAGAAGCCGGTAAAAAAACTGTAATTTTTTAGATTTTCTTCGTTTTTCACGTAAAAGCGCAAGGTTCCCACTTTTTCGATGTATATACTTTAATCGTGGAAAAGGATTTCTTATTTCATGTAACCAATAAAAAAATTTCGGTCTGCAAAGTGTAATTATTATGGCCGGTAAAACAGGACTCCGGCATCACCTTAATCCTATAATTTAATTTTAAATAAAATTTTAATTTTAAATATTTTAAACGTAAATTTTTTCGCAATTCCGGTTTTTTATTTAGAATTCTGGGTAACATTCTACGAAATATAAAAGAAACTCTTAATATTCGTACACTCCAATATTGCAAGAGATATCACGATTTTTTAATCATTTTTTTCTATTATTATTGATAAAAACTAAATGGCGCATTGTATAATATTTTATATATAACACACATATATAATATTCTAATAATATGCCGTGAGCAACTCTCATTGAGATATCCATTTTTAAAAAGATATGTTAAATCAACACTCGCAAATATTATTATCTCTTTCCTGTGATGCTGATTAGTCTCGATGTTGTGCTGTGCATTACTTCCTATCAATAAAAATCTGTCATAACAGAGCGACGCATTTGATAGTTCAAATATTAAATATGTGTGTAATTTTTATTTAATTTATTTTTATAAAACGAAGAACTAAAGTTAATATGTGTAAAAATTATACACACATACACACAAAATAAATAGCGCGCGCTTATAGTGTTCTAGTTTTGATAAAAACCAACTTGCATGTAATTCATAGTCACGGTTCGTTGTTCTGAACGCGTGATAAAATTTTCGTACGCATTACTTCCGGATTAAAAATGAGCGGCGGTTTTTGCAGAAGATGATGTGTAATGTGTCGTTTAATATGCGTCCGATTAAACGCGTAATCAGCTGTTATTCACGATTAAGCGAACTTATTGATAAGGATTCCGAGAATATCTCGGACTTTGCTAATTTTCTTTTTGTTATTACTTGGATTTACGACAATTTATAAGCGAGCAACAGTGGTCATTGCGTATTTATAAATCTTCGTAATCGACAATAAAATCGTAATGCTCAAACGTTATGTGTTACGTTGCGCTATGTTGCTACTATGTCGTTCTTATACAAAATTCGCTTGCGAACAAATGTTTTATATTTTTTATTAGCTATAAAACTATAGGCTTTGATCTGTAAAAGATATGTTTTCTCAAAACATATAAATAATTCATATTATAGATTAGAATATGTATTAAGTAAATTAAGAAAAATCTGGGAGTGAGATATCTTGAAACAACTCAGAATAAACCGGTAAATTGAATATAATTTGAATAGATTATAATAGAAAAATTATGTATGTATTAATATGTATTAACTGTCATACACATTCTGGCTCTAGATTACGAATTAAGAAGTCAGTTATATTTTTTGAAAATATCTTTTGCTCAATATTTTTATTTTTTTATTTGTATATGTGTGTGATAACATTTATTAAATATTGTAAGAAACTTTATAGATTACGGACAAAAATTAGATTATGATATTGCCATTTTGTATTTGTACTTTTTATATATTCACAAATAAATGATTAAGTGTGTGTCTGAAATAAGATGTTAATTGTGAAATAAGATAATAATAATCTTTTTTTTTAAATATCTTCCTCTTTAAATAAAACCTTGCGAGTAAAAAAAGTAATTTATAGCATTAGTCATTTAAAAAAAGTTTAGGAAGGTTATATACGGACTTACAAATCTTTAAATGATAAACTGTAAAATCAATACTATTTGTTTGAATATTATATATTGCAATTGACAAATGTGAAAATGAATATTAAATGTTTCGCCTAAATTGACTGTGTGCTAACATTTACTAATATATTTTTCATACATAAGATTCTTTATTCCTTATATAAGTATCATCTTTTTTTGATTAACTTTTCATTCTTTTAATGATGCCTCTGTATTATGTAATTGTCATTGAAAAAGTTGATGGAGAAAAAAGATGTCGTAAAAAATTATAACAAAATATATATCGCGACTATATATCTCAAGACGGCATGTTTTCCGAATATATTTTCAATTCAAAAGAAGTACATATAAAAAACTATTATAATGTAAAAATGCTTGAACAATATGAGTGTAAATTTGTTGCCGCTGATGTAGAAAGAATTTTTTAACTTGAAGTTTCATAGCATAGGAAATAGAATTGCACCGCAACTACAATAACTACAAATACTACATAAATATTAAATAATATTAACATATACATATTACGCGAAATTTTTATATGTAAATTATTACGTCGCTCACTTTCCGATTATCATTGTAGCTACATTTTCCAACATTTACGAAAAAACGTGCTTCTATTATGACATTATATCGATAAAACCATCATGGATCATATGACGCGGCTTAATTTATCAAATATCTTTCAATTTTAAATATTATAATATATTAAATATTATAAATTTTATAGAAAAATTTGGACTATGAAATAATGACATTTATTTTAAATATATGTTTTTTAAATAAAAATCTACGCGTAAAATAAAATAAATGCAAAATTGTTTTAGCATTAAAAATACATTGCATTGAGAGCTCTTTATCCTAGCTGATCGATCCGAGCAGAAGATGAGACTGTGTCGAAAAATTAGAAACATCGGAATCAAATATGACAGTGCTGTGTAAAGAAGGAACGAGTAAATTCGAACTGTTGGCCAGTTCGACCTAATATGTTGTCAACACGGCAGAGAATCGCGTAAAGAATAATAAAAGAAAAACAGTAAATATCGCATATATTTTTGTTAAATTTGTTTCATGAGTTTTGAAGACACTTGATGTGTTTTTCGATCAATATGATGAATATGTGACAGTTATATTCTGATTAGATTGTGTGCTGGTATTAATTTTAAACTATTTCTTTCTTATTGTATTTGCAAGACCGAATTACAATTCTTAACGATTTGTGATATCGTATATATTTGCACCGTCTATAATCGAAACAAGAGCATATAGCCGCATTTCAGGTAAAGAAAGTAAAGATGACAGAGATATTAATAATAAAGATAACAGATATATTAATAATGTATAAAAAAAACAGATATTGTAACACTTTTGGATTAATTTATATTTTTAGAAGGAATATATTTTTACGATTACAAAGATAGATAAAAAAGATGTTTAGCAAATATTTCGAAGATGGAATTTCTTCACTAACAATTAATATTAAAATGTAAAATGCAATGATTATCATACTAACAAATATTTAAAAGAGTTCAAAAACATATTTAAAGTGAAAATTATTAAAAATTTTGTGTTTTTGTTATGACTTTATGTAGCAGAGTTAAAAAACGTTTATTGTTTTATTTGTTCTGGTTTGTCTTAACGCGATTATATATTCATTTGTTTCACTCTGACATTCCATTTTGTAAAATTTTTCTTTAAGCTATACATTATATATCTGTAAAACTAAAAAAATATCAAATAAATTCATTGACTAAAAGTTTCTCGAGTACACGTTCCAATTCGCATAATGAACATAATAAAATATAAATAATATGTCAATTTAATTATATTATTAACAGGTCGGTGTTTTCTTTGTAGAAAACCTTTACAATCTGATATTATGGAGAATCAGCCCGAATCTCTGAATATCGACAATTCCTCCGAGAAATTATTGTCTGCCTTTATACCGAGGCATGATGCTTTGGAGAAATCCGTCGAACAGGCTTCACGAAGTCGGACAGATAACGTTAGGTATTATATTTTTCGATTAGAATTACTTCAAACTAATATCGCATATTATGTGATATTAAAAATTAATATAATTATTAAAATTTATAATGAGATTAATATTAATCTATAAACAAAATTTTACTTAATTGTCTTTATATTTTTTTTAATAATTCGGTTTTGTTTGAATTATTAAAAATTGTTTAGAATAACAGTGTATATGCGCGTTTTATTTTCTTATATAATTAAAAATTATAATTTCCGAGAGAAATATTCTTGCAATTAAAATAATTTTTATTGTTGATATAGAAATGCAGAACTAAAAATTTATTTACATAAATAATAGTATTTGCATTTATTGTAATTATCAAAAATAAATATTAGAAATATTTTTAATATATAATTAAAAGTTTGAACTGTCTTTATTTAACAAACTTTTTATGTGACAATTCGAGATCTAACACATGCAATTAATTCGGAAAGATAAGATATTACATGTCATTAACCAAGTGTCTTTTTATTTAAAAAAACAATAGAGACCAGGTATTAGCAAACAATGATGCATGTATAAATGTTATGGGTAACTATCCACTCGAAACCGAAACAATAAACTTACCGGGATCGTCTGCTACGGAACCGTCTACTACGGAATTGTCTCGTATGGAATCGTCCGGTACGGAATCGGATGCTACTGAAATCGCGCAACCGAATATATCAAAATCTGCACTCGAGCTAAAATCTCAATCTTTGCAAGAATGCATTCAGAAAATTAAAAGTTACAATAAATCGAAAAACTATAAGGAATCGTACTCTATGGGATCGTCTCCTCTAAAATCGTCCTCTGCAGAATCATACTCTGCAAAATCTTCTTTTACGGAACCATTGAAAACGACTCCGAACACGCCAAAACGTCCTTGCACACTAGATTTTTCGCATACTAGAAAATTGCCAACGTTCAAAGATGTATTTCTTGATTATTTCATGACTCAAAGATTAGAAATGATCTCTGTGGAACATAAACTTTTGACAATGTATATGAGTCGAATCGCTCGAGAATATAATTCAGACAATATGATTGAAAAAGACGAAAAATCAAAGGATTATCAAAATAAGAAAAAAGAAAATCGTCAAAATCGTCAGAAGATTAATAAGATGCCTAAGGATAAATTATTACAGTGGGGACATATAATCGCACAATCAAAACTTATAATTTTCCTTATTTCTATATTACCATATTCAGTAATGAACAAGATTATTAAAAGATTCAAACCTTCAAAACCAACACTTATGATAACTTATGATAAAGCTCGAAAAGATAAAAAACCAGAAGATATTCAAGATACGAAAGTAAAAATTCATCGAAAGAAATGTTCGTCGGAATGTTTAAAAAGTTTCATAATCTTGTTAATATTAATTCTATCTCCATTTTTATTTCAATTTTATTCTCGTTTTGAACTTGTACGTGATGAGAATGATAAGCACGCTGATATTTTTGAGACTGCTATTGTCGAATTGGAGGAAGGAATACTCGATCACGATGCAACCGTACGAGCCGTGACCAAATATCTTGAACGAAATACATCTCTTTTAAAAGTAGTAGCTCTCATCGGTGATACAAGCGTCGACAAACCATACACGGTGGACATAATAAAAAAAATATTACGCAAAAGGAGAAGAAACGGTCCTTCACCTTCGTTTCCGACCTTTATTGTCTTAGAGAATTTGAGAGCAGAGCATTCTAAAGTCGTTATAAACTATGCGAAAACGTATCAAGAAGCATATGGCAATCGGGAGTTTACCATATTGGCTGTTTTTAAAGATGAGCAGATTGATGATGATTTGATGCGTGCAGATCTTAACCACACTATAAACGCAGTAAAAGATTTTTTTATCAAAGCAAATATTATTATGAAAATTATTCCCTTCAAACCTTTGAACGAGGACACATTAGAAAAATACATTAGAAACACTGCGGAAAATATCGGACAAACGTTCTCCCAAGATCAAATCGATTATTATAAACGACGTTTGATAGAAGATGATACCAATTACCAAAAAGTATATGGTTGTTAGACAATAAAGATCATTCATAATTGCTTCCGAGGAGACAAGACTGTTCAAATTATTGAATTGCGTATTGTATGTGACATAACAATATTTATATTAAACAATATGTATTTTTTCGTATACATATCGGATTATAACATATTGTTGTAAATTTATGAGTACAAATAATTGACATTTTCCGGACTTTATAAATTATATCGAATTGCGTTTTCATGTTGCTAAATTATATTCTTTATTCCTTTGACTTCGATTAAAAAAATAATTTTATTTAATTTTGTACTGAAAGCCAATTTGCAAACGATTTATAGTTATAATCCGTTGATGTAAATATGTGATGAAATTTTTGTATGCATTACTTGCATTGTACTAGAAACGAATGGTGATATGTGCAGGAGATAACGTGTTATATGTTGTTTAACATATGTCAAAAGAGCGCTCAATTAGCGTTCTATTAGAAATGGTTAAACAAATTCACATTAGGACTCCTAACATAGGTAATATCTCGGATTGTTGCTAAATGTTATTTAATAAACACATTTGTATTTTTAGGCGAATGACCGTGATTATTGCATATGTATAAATCTTCGTAATTACACATAATGCTCAATCATTAGGCATTACGCTACGTTACATTGATATCACCGATCGTTTTTATACAACTTAAAAATTACTTTAATTAAAATCTTGCAAGTAACATAATGATAAATAACTTAACATTGAAAATTACACAAAATTACAAAACTGCAAATGTTAATTTCATATTAGTGGTGTAATCGCTTATATATTAGATATATGGTGTGAATGATAAACAAGGATTTTATTTAAATAATTATAATTGATCTGTATTAACATTTATATATATGTTTTATTAAATATGATTTTTCGATTTTTGCATAAATACCCAATTTTTGTGATATATTTATTTCTCCTTTATTTATACCTTTTCATGTGATCTTTAGTCTCTAGTAATAGTATAATATAATCAATAAATGTCAATATTTTACCTGCATTCATGCACATAGCGTTACGTCTTTTTATGATAAAAAGTATCGGTTATTTGTTTTTTACATATATATCGATAATTATGCAAGTGATCAGTATTAGTTTTATTCGTTCGGTATAACTACAGCTGCTTTATTAATCCCGTAATTCCATTTCCTTGTGTGTTCCATTAAAAGAATATATATATATATATATATATATATATATATATATATATATATATATATATATATATATATATATATATATATATATATATATATATATATATATATATATATATATATATATATATATATATATATATATATATATATATATATATATATATATATATATATATATATATATATATATATATATATATATATATATATATATATATATATATATATATATATATATATATATATATATATATATATATATATATATATATATATATATATATATATATATATATATATATATATATATATATATATATATATATATATATATATATATATATATATATATATATATATATATATATATATATATATATATATATATATATATATATATATATATATATATATATATATATATATATATATATATATATATATATATATATATATATATATATATATATATATATATATATATATATATATATATATATATATATATATATATATATATATATATATATATATATATATATGTATATATCTAAAAAAAATAATTGTACTAATTTCAACGAACAAAATGATTCGATAAGACGGGACAGTCATATTTCCTGATTATTACAATACACAACACAATTGTCAATTTGTTGAGACATGTGATAATAATATTAATAATAATAAATTTGTCATCTGAAAAATTGCATTTTTAGTGCAATCCGTATATTCAACTTGCGAATTTTTACGTTCGCTATGGTCACTATTGCCAAAAGCAGCATACTAGTATGCATGACCATAACTGCTGCGTCTGTTCTGCATTCTAGCATTCTCGGCCTTGGCTAGTCATCTCCCACTCTATTTTCATTCATGTCACATGACAAAGGAACGACGCACAAGGTATCGACGCGTCGAAGAGAACGCTTCATTTTCATTTGCCGGTGCCCGAAGGATACAGACCATCCCGAAAATAGTGCTACGAAAGGAACAAGTAAACGGACTGTTGCTAAAGTAGATTGTGAGCACGTGTTGTGCATGGGAGCATCAGACTAAAAAACAATAAACATTGCGGTGGTCTTGTTTCAAGATGGTCTTCGTTTTCAATGCTCTATCGTCAAAAATATGTTTGACATATTTTTTCTTTTAACATGATTTCTAATAATCATAATTTAGTTGTATTTTGTGTTAGTAAGATCTCAAATTCGTGCCGTTCATAGGGTCAAAATACGATAGGCGTGGTTACGTATTGCGTTCGAAGTGAGACAAAACAATACATTCACGTATCAGAAAGAGAAGGAGGGGAGAATAAATTGTAACGTTAATTTATTGATGATGCGTGATTCACGATTCCTGAATGGTATAGAGGATTATGATTGGTTGAAATTGATGAATCATCCATTCACAAATTATAAACAAATCACGATATGAAAGATATGTAAAAACGAGCAGATCTTCTAACGTTTTTAGGTTAATTCTTATTTTTCTTTATATTTAATTCAAAATTAAAGATGGATAAAAATTAATAGCAGAACTAAAGATAAATTTTTTAATAAATAATAATTTTGAAACGTAAAATGCAACGATTATTATACAGATAAATATTTATAAAAGATTATTAAGAATTAAGAAATTATATAACACGATTATATATTTATATATTTATTTCTCTTATTGACATTCCGATTTTAAAATATTTTTGCTAATGATGTCATATTAGTTATTTGTAATAGAGATAAACAGTTATAAAATAAATTATTCAATTAAAAATTTCTCAAATGCATGCTTTAATTTCTCTTTGCAAACGAAGAATGAACTAAGTAAAATGTAAACACGTCTTATTGCAACTTTTGTGGATTGTTACTAAAAGATCGATCTTTTTTCCGCAAAAAAGATTTTTTAGATCCCGTTCAATATTATGGAAAAGTAATTTGTGACGTTGAGTTTATGATATCTTCGAATTGAATAAGAGATTATTGCAAACGTTTCGCTTCCCATTCACAAAGCAAATTGTAAATATTTGCAAAAATTTATACATTTAGCAGCTTAATTATAAGCAGCTATTACCTGTGAACAAATATCGGAGCATTTGCAATATATTGAATCTTTTTATAGAAATTGTTACGACCTTTATATTACATGTTAAAGTATAATAAATCTATTAACAAAATTGATTTGCTCGTCTTTATGTCTTTTATTAATTAGCGCAAATAATTAAAAAATTTGAAATTACTTTATATTTGCATATCTCATTTTCTCGTAAAATTAAAAATTATAATTTTTAAGCAAATCTTTACAATTATAACAATTTTTATGCAAGTCATAATTGATTGAAATAAAAACGCGACAAAATGCATAAATGTATTAATATTAATCATAGTATTTGTATTTATTATTGGCATCGACAATACAATATAAAAATAGCTTTAAGAGATAATAAAATACAGTATAAAGAAGAGATAACAAAATATCATACAAAGAAGATAAAAAATAATCAAGAACCAGCGCGGTAATTTGTGCACAAATGTTTTATTACAATCAAATTACATTGATATTTTGACTATGTGATTGTCTTTTATCTCCTTTATATAATATATTCATAAGAGTCTTTATTAGTTAATTAGATAGCAAAATACTTGAATGAAACGCATTCATTATTTAAAGTAACATGATGAGCCAAGTATTGGAACGTGCGATTATGTAAAACATAATATATCAAATGACATTAATCAAGTGTTTCTTTATTTGTAGAATCAAGGACCACATAAGGTGATGGAAATTGCAAACAAAAATCGACTCAGGCTTAAGAAAGTATTACAACTGCGATTTAACAATTTCGAAACCTAAATATCAACAATCCATATCCGTATATTTAATCTTACAGACGAACAAGTAAAAATATATATAAAAATAAGGGAATCTTACGGCTTCAACGGATGATATCGACAATATGACATCATCCATATTCAACGGAACATATTCATGATACATCATTCGCATCTATACATTTAACGAGAGATATCTATGTTGTCCTGGATGCCCTTTGGACGTCCTAAGGACATCCTTGTGCTGTCTGGGATATATCAACTATACGATAATACTCATATTGATAAATTTAACAGGATATATCGACGATATTATCCAAATAATAATATCCTTATTCACGGATTTACCTGAAGATATATACAATACGATACTATCCCATGGATACAACAGGAAATATGCATAATACAATAGGAGATAAGCATAATACAACAGGAGATAAGCATAATACAACAGAAGATAAGCATAATACAACAGAAGATGAGCATAATACAACAGTCACATTCACGGATTTAACGGAAGATATCCACGATATAAACACATCCGTAAACTCAACGAATGATATCGACGATGCATTATCACTTTCATCTGTAGAAACCATATCAACAGAACATATACTGACGATACGTCAGAATTCACATTCATAGATTCAGAAGATATTCACGATACGAGACCAGTTACATCTGCAGTCGGTCAAGCAAAAAATATAAAATGGAATAAAGTAGATAAAATGGAGTTTGAAAAAAACAAGGACTTACAAGAATTGATTTCTTCGATCTCTATGAATCATCATATATTTTTGATCATGCGTGATCGTAATAATGTTATCAGCAAACCAGCAAGCCAGCAAACAAGTGCATTGAAATCTGTTTTTAATCCGAAATCTCAGCTCTCAGAGACAAATGAAGATGTTGCAAAATCGGTTCTCACGAGACGAAAACTCGTGAAAAGGAATAATTCAAACAGTATGAATAAAAACGAAAGTGGCAAGAAATCGCAGGATTATCAAAGTACAAAAAACAAAACTTGTCTGCCAAAAGTGAAAATGATGTTTTGTTTCTTATTGTCATTATTTCTATTATCATTTTTATTTTACACATATTCATTTCTACATATAGTTCCCTTGCATAACAATCATAAGAATCAAAACAATATCGATTTTATGACTATCGCACAGAAAAAGATATTCGATCAGATTGATACCGTACAAAAATTGACCGAGTATCTTCAGAAAGATACACCTCTTTTAAAAAAACAGCACTCATCGGTAATACAAATCATACATGATAAATGTTATAAGAAAAATATTATGCAAAAGAAGCAGTAAGGGTCCCTTACATGCTCCGAAACTTTATTATCATGGAAAATTTGGCAGCAGAGCACGATTCCATATTCGTTAAAAATTATATGGACTGGTTTCAACATTTTTATAACAATCAGCGGTATACCATAGTAGCTGTTTTTGAAGTCGAAGAAGTAAAAAGTATAGAGTTATGGGAAACTTTCGTAATATTAAACAATTCTTTTAAGAGTACAAATAGTGATATCAAAGCACTTCCTTACACACCTTTAAACGAAGAAACTTTAGAAAGATACATTATAAACACTGCGAAAGATATCAAAGGAACTTTCTCTCAAGATCAGATCAATAATATTAAATAACATTTGTGGGATCATATTTACCTCCGAGATGAATATGGTTGCTAGACAATAAAGATCATGATATTCTTTGTTAAAGATAACTGTTACTTAAAAGAAGTAAAGTAAGCTGAGTAATCATTTTACTTAGCAATTGAATAATATTTTTCTGTGTGCATGCTTCCAAGAAAACAAGACCGCTGAAGGAACAGTAATGATTTCTCACCTTCGCTTCAGGACTTTATTGTTTTGAAGAATTTGAGAGCAGAGCATCCTACAGAAGTCATAAACTTTGTAAAAATATATCAAGAAATATATGGCGGATTTTAAATCATACTGACAGTTTTAAAGTCAAACAAATGGATGACGATTCGAAGCAAAATATAGTATATAATTATATAAGTATATAATTTACATTAATATGTATAAGTATATGATTTAAACAGAACTATAGACGCAGTAAAAGATACTTTCATCGAAGCAAATATTAATATCAAAATTGTTCCTTACGATCCTTTAAACGAGGAAATTTTAGAAAAATAATATTTTAAACGCGGCGGAAAATATCAGACTAATACTTTTTCAAGATCAGATCGATGTTATTAAAAAACATTTGATAGAAAATAATGCTGATTGCGGTAATGTTGAGTCTGAGTTAATAATATCCAATTAAATAATGTGTGTTTTTCTGTGTTTCGATTGTAAAATATTGTGATAATCGTAAGACTGCAAAATATAGTTCCCATTATACAGGGTGTCCCGAATTTAAACGTCAAAACTTCGGGAGCGTGTAGGGGATCGATAAACTAAGACAAAAAGTCCTTTAGAGATTTGCTCGTTTTTGTTTTGTTTTGAAGAAAATCGCAAAAAAAGAAACAAATAATTTTCACCAAAAAACTTAAAACAACACTAAAATTATTAGGTTTATCAAAAGTACCATGAAATAAAAATTGTAGAACCTGGAATTAAGAAAAGAGAGTGAGTTAAAATCCTCCTCAGGTAAAATTAGATTAGAAACAAAATTTCGCGTTGTCGCTTATTTATCTACAATCCTCCAATTTTATTTCGGGAGTATTTTAATTTAATTTTTTGGTGAAAATTTTTTGCGATTTTTTTCAACACAAAGCAAAAACGAGCAAATCTCTAAAGGACACTTGTCTTAATTTATTGGTCCCCTATACGCTCCCGAAGTTTTGATGTTTAAATTGGGGACACTCTGTATATATAAGCAAATATATTTTAGTTTTATAGATGCCTATCGAATCGTGTTTTCTTCCATGTTGCTTAATTAGATCGTTGATATATTATTTTAATATCAAGATATAATTTTTGTGTATGATAATCAATGAAATACGATCTTTAATTTTGATGAAAGCCAACGTGCATGTAATTCGTAGTCACGGTCCGTTGTTCTGAATGCGTGACGAAATTTTCGTACATATAACTTCCGGATTAAAAACGAGCGACGGTTTTTGCAGGAGATGATGTGTAATGTGTCGTTTAGTATACGTCGATGAAACGCGTAATCAGCAATTACGCACGGTTAAGCGAACTTACATTGTTAGGACTCCGAATATACGTAATATCTCGGATTTTGCTAACTTTCTTTTTGTAATTATTTGGATTTACGACGATTTATAAGCGAGCAACCGCGGTCGTTGCGTATGTATAAATCTTCGTAATCGACACGTAATGCTCAAACGATAGGCGTTACACTCCGTTGTTACCATTTACAATACCAAGAGAGAGAGAGAGAAATACGAATCTTTCTTTTGTAATCTATTTATATAAAATAAAGCTATATAATTATAATAAAACAGTCAATAAATATAATAAATATAATTATAATAAAATAATCGAATATTTCACATAAATTAATTTTGAATTAGCATTTTTACGAATATGTTTTAATAAATAAGATTACCTATACTTATATCCTCTTTATGACTTTATCTACTGATTTCTTTTTTAATTACACTCCCTTACATGATCTTCTCACGTAACATAAAAACAGATCAATCAATGTTAAAATTTTTGCTTTGTGCACGCACGTAACATTACGTCTCTTTATATTAATAAAAATATTTCTTATTTGCCTCTTACGTATGCATCGATGATGCAACTGGTTACGTTCGTTCTATAACGACGCAAACCTATGTTACATCGCGCGCTTCCAATTCGACCCGTTATCCCACTTCCTTGAATGTTTACAATTCTACATGTTCTAGAAAATAATTAATTTATTATAGCAATTTCAGTGAGTAAAATTACCCGATTGTACCGATGACTTACGTTTCCTGTTTGTCAGGGAACGAAACGTTTACCCGACAATCGTTTTAACGATTCATTAAAGTTGCAGTGATACATGACATGATACACAGACATGTTATGTATGTACGTGCGTCGACAGTCGCGGGAGTTTTATTCGCCTCGCTGCCAGCAAAAAGTTGTCCGAAGACACATGCAAATGCGACCCGACAATTTTGCAGTTTGATTACTAGACATCATCTTTTACAACGTCCGTTTTGATGACATCGGATGTGATAATCGCTTTCCCGGTTCGAGCGTGTTCCTTGTGCAACAATATCATCGGATCAGTGTCACGTCATTCTATGTTTTATGAGAGACAATGAAATTGAGAGAATCTCTTCTTTCGAGCATAATTATCCTCTGTCTCATTTGTCGTTATAAGATTCACTGCTACGTAAAAGCGGTTGGCTGATTAATATTTGAAGTCATGTATTTCCTTTTCTCTCGTTATATAATGTTTCAGCGAGGCGTTATTATGCGGCAACGCTCCGCATGTTTTACGTGCGAGATCGTAAAACACGGAACCGCGCGGTAGCCACGTTCGAGCAGTGAAAAATCGCGGTATATTGTTGGAATTGCGGTGAACCAAGTACAAATATCTTATTCGTCAGGTTCATTTTCGGACGATCAAGGCTCTGATAATAAAAATAAACAGAATAATAAAATGAATATTAGAAAGGTGGCTGTTGTCACACACAATGCATAAAATTATATATATAATTACATAAAATTGTAGACATAACTGGTCAAGAAAAATTACAAATATATGAGTTGCGATTTTGGTCTGAAACCCCTTCAGTATAAATTTAAAATTAAATTAAATAAACAGAATAAATAGAATAATTACAAATAGTAAGTAACAGACGATGAATGAAAAGTGGTCTAGCTGGAGAAGTTTCCTTTAATTTGCCCTCTAATATTAACCAATCAACCATCATGCTATTTTCCTGAAAGTAAAGACAAGGAACTCAACAAATTATTTTTTTGTTCTGTAATGTGTATAGTGATAGAAACGACAAGATATGTGAGAATATAACAAAAGAAAGAGATTCTTTAAATTCATCAACGTAATCATTGATAGCAAGAAAGAGAGAGAGAGAGAGATCTTATTATATATAAATTATATTACAAAGACTTATAAAGTCATAAAAGTCGCGTTGACTATAAGTAATAAAGTTCGTTGACATAACTGTTTAAACGGAGAGATGGACTCGGTTACAATGAGACAATGCGAAATGACATGCAACCTAACCGAAACCACAAAAGTCAGACATTAAAATAAAAACGAGCTTGTCAGTGGATATATCAGACGAGTGCGGTGGTATTTAAATTTTAACAATAAATTTATCTATGATGAAAAAGTAAGAAGAATATTTAAGGGATCCGTGTCAAGTTGAAATTAAATTTTTGTCTTTTAATATAAAGCATGTCCGAAATAATAATTTCGAGATGAATAAATTGATAATTGAGTTAAAATTCTCGCAAATAGATTTGATGTAAAAAATTAGAAAAAAGAAAGATTGGAAATTTTGAGAATCAGAACTGTTTTAAATAATAATATTCTAATTAATTTTACAATGAAAAAAAAACTTTAAACGTTTATTAATTGCTTCAAAAATTATATTAAAAGAATATCTCCATTTTTTTTAAAGATAATAAATTTTAAATTCTTCTAATAATATTTTGAGTGGAACCGAAGGGGGGGGAAAGCTTTTAACCAGACTTATGATTATATCTTTTTTTTGACATATCGGATATTGAGAGAAAAAAATTCAAGTATCTATTGAATGAAGTTTGTTTGTAGTACTAATCGAATTCAAAATATCTGTCACACAGAATAATGGTTAAATCTAAAAAGCATAAGCGTTTATCAGAGTCCAACTCCATTATGAACTAAACTTTACAATAAAAAAAGTTGAAAATATGCAAGATAAAGAGAGCTACCAAGGCCACGTTATTTATGTATTTGACATAAAAAGATAGAATAAAAGGCAATCTTTTAAGTACTTAGGATTTTAAATTCTAAAACAACATCTATAATAGGTAATAATAGGAAAAAAAAGACAAGCCAATAGAAACATGGCAAAAACTTGTTTATAAATTTATAGTTAAATATTTAAAAAATGGAATAAATTTTAACTAATTTTAAAGCAATAATAAATTTGTCAAACAGAATTTTAATATTTTTAGTAATAATATTTCATCTATTTTTTATATGTCTTTTCAAATCTAATGGAAAAGACAATATTACTTACTGCATTGTATTAAAAAATTCAGTAAACGATATTATTTCAGATTAACAGTCAATGCAAAAAAGATGGAGATCTGGCGGTTTTGCCTCAAACCTTTTTAATACCCATTTGTTACTTTTTTTTCGAAAGAAATTCTGGTTCCGGGAGCGATTACAGGTACAACCGGGGAATCGCGTTACGAAACCGTATCGCGCATCGTTTCTATTACGATATCTAGGTATCTATAAAAGAAGGCAGAAAACCAGCGAACTAGCGCAGTTTGCAAGTTCCTGTGCGGACAATAACAGAAAGTGTGTATTACGATCTGCGCCGTGTGTTGGAAATCAAGACGAGAGCGTCTTGGTCTACACTTTGTACCCCCAAGGATCCGGTCTTTGCTCTGAGGACACGCTTCTTGTAAAGGTAGGCGCGATTGAAGACGTGGAGACGTTGAGAGGAAGGGCGTCGCAGAAAATTATAAAAGAGCGAACGTTCGACGAGAGTGGGGCAGTCACTTCCAACTGTGCACCTGGGGCACCACGATCGGGGTATGTCCATATAATCAAATAGAATATCTATTTAGAATAGTGCTTGAGACATAAATCTCGGATTCGTGTGTCTAAGAAACAGGCAGATTGAGCAAGCGTGAAAGCAGAATTAAAATCAGTGTTCAATTCATATATACTCCTCTCTTATATAATATATGTAATATAATTTTTTATATAATGTAATTATTTTCCTAGAAAGTGTGTTTTATATGCTTTCACGTTTTTATTCATTATTTTAGTTTTTTATGTAATATAATTTCTTGTAAAGAAAATTTTTACATTTTTTAAAATTACAGATATAAAATGTCCTATTTTAATAGGACGTTTAATGTTTTTGACATAAATGTTTTTCATTTATGAAAAGATTATGCCAATGTCAATATTTGGATACTTTTTCAGTTATAAGTAAAATTTTCAAAAGATTTGAGGAGAGTTCAGTTATAAAAATAGAAATGTATATAATATGATCACAATTTTCACTAATTTTTACTCAATTTTGCCTTTTAATAGAACTTTAATATATAACTTAATAGTCAAAATATAAATCATGAATATTAATTTCGTATAGACACAACGTTCTATTCTAAGATCTTATTACAAAAAGTCAAACTTAAATTAACAAGATTCTATAGTTGAAAGATAAACACACAATGCTTTTGCAATATTTTAAGAGTATTAATTATTTTTTGAATAATGCTTTTTAATTTTATGTTGCAATTTTAATTATAAGTACATTGCAACTTCTTTTCTTACTTTTTCATGGAAACAGACAATAAATAGAGATTGTGTTTTTTTTAAATATTAAAATATTAATATTTTATCTACTTAAATTTCGCTTTGAAAGAATTAAAAACCATTACAAAAATGCATCATGTTACAACGATATAATGACATTGTCTGTGACGTCAGTCTTAAGCTGTCTGATCACGCTTATCAGAATAATGTATCGAATCGACGAATTGTCGAAACGTCGCGCGAATTTTAATCTCCGAGACGATACATCTCGTCCTTGGTCGTAAAGGTCAACATTAGCAAAGGTCGGGAATATGGAACGCGAATTGTCATTCATGGGATTTCGCACGCTGAAGGAAATTTACACATTGGAAAAAGCGTGGGATTGGACACAATTTTGTTCGTTATACGCTCGAAATCAACCGCAAATGAGCTGCAACAGAATCAAAAGCGCCATGACATAATCTTCGTAATACGCGCGGGAATCCTTCGTAACATAACGGGTTGCACGATCATGGTGTTTCAATAATAACGAGAGATAACGTTGAGTCACACCGTTATAAAAATGAAAGGATTAAATACGTAATGTGACGCAATCGACGTCATAACTCCATATGAAAAAGCTCTTATAAGCGTGATAGACGACGTCGAAGAGATAAAAGCTCGCGGCCAATAATACGATAAGTGGCACTTTCTACGCGGAAGAAGGCTCATACCCTTAACCAGCTCCATCATAATCGTAATACAGCGTCATTTGTACAGAGAGCTCGATCGTAATTACTTTTATCCATGTAAGAGTACGTAAGAAGACGGTAGACGTAACATATATAATGTTTCTGCGATCCGGTAGTCATTCCGTTTATTACCGACTTATCAAGATTGGCGAGTGTTTTATAATCAAATATTACATGTATTCGCCATAATATACTTGCTCGATTTTTCACTTTCGATTGAAGTTCTTTGAACGGTGACATAACGTTTAGGGATATTACGTATCCGATAAAATTTTTATCGTTCCAGAAAGTTTGCGATAGACGAAAGCAGCGTTGTAACAATGTTATACAATTCTAATTACCCTCACTCCGGAATATGATATATGATCAGCAATAGACATCGAGAAAATAGACGGAAGCGAGACGGGAGAATAAAACTCTCTCAACAACATATATATATATAATAAGCGTATTCAAAAGAGAGTGAACATTCATTATGAAATGATCCTTGCTACATAACAGGCGGCGTTCCAATTTCTCTCTTAAAGACGTTTCTCAGATCTTTCCCACTTCTTCAATTGTAGAACTTTGTGTTGCACAAAACGAGAAAAATCGGAGTTCCACCTCTACCGCAATAAACAGCGTGAAACGAAGTAAAGTAGAAAAAAGTAACGCGATGATAATGACACTTCTTTCGGGACTCGCGCGACTATTTGTTTCGGCGAACAAAGATGGGTGAACAACCTACTCGCTTATTGCGTAATCGGAGAAAGTGATTGCGAAACAAGCCGGTGCACACTCATACTAAGACACGTGGTGCGCGATGAAGAAGTCGGCTGTACTACGATAATCGTTATGTCACGAACTGACGAAAGGTTCGAGAATTCCCGTTTGCGATCGGCCAACTGACAACGTAACCGACCCATTCCTTTTTAAAGGAGAGAGAAAGACAAGCGCATTTCTTCAAGACACCTTCGCCGTGGCTTTGAACAGGAACTGGGTCAGCCGGTCAATTATATGATATCTGACGGTTCAAAAGAAAGTAAAAGCGCGCATTGTTATTTCAGTTGTATAATTAAATAAGCTATATTAAAAAATAATAGATATAAATAAAAATTCTCCTATTATACATTGTTTTGCTCAAAAAGATCTAATTTACACATGTATTTAATAGACATTTATTAATAAATATATATTTAATAGATAGTTTACATATATTTAAAAAATAAAAACTCTCTCAAGACGCTTTTTTTTTAATAAGAAATATTTTATTATAAGAGATTTATTTATTATATATAAGAGATATTTTATTTTTTTAAATAAATATCTTAAAATAATTATAAAATTTAAACGTAAATATTTAATTTTAAAATCTATTGTAAATTTCTTAAAATAATTGTTATTATCTCTATAAGAAAAATATAGCGATAGAAGATGTGCTTACGCAACAACCTTTGTTGAAACTCTTCCAGATATCTGCAGATTCAAGTAGGTCACCAGGCGTCTTTCAAACAAGATCAAGATGGGAGCAGTCGAATGGGTAATCGATGAGGATGAATATGTGTGCACTCTCTCGGAGGAGACTCAAAAAGTCGCCAAGGATGAGCTCAGAGAGGACAAGAACACCAGAGATCAAGCTCTCGAGCAGATGCGCAATTGGATTAAGCTGAACCCTCGCATTCAAAATTGCCGTCTCGGTAAAACTGCAATTTCCGTCTTATAGTCAATTTCCTGAAATTGACACAAATATTGACACGTTACGAAAAAAAAATCTAAATGTTAAAGGCACAATAATTTAACTGATAACATATATTTAATTACTTTAGGATTATAATCAAATGTTTTAAAGTTATAATATCATTTTAAATAATTTTGAAAAAAAAACTTAAATAATTACTTTATAATTATAAGCATTTGAAAACGAATAATAATTCTCCGATTGTTGATATATCTTCTCGGTATTAATTTGCCACTTTTCATCAGATGCACGATTCCTACTAAAATTCTTGCGATGTAAAAAATTCAACGTCCCGATGGCCCAGGAGGCTACAGAAAGGTACCTGCTGCTCCGTCAGGTGTATCAACCAGCATTTCATAACTTGGATATTACAGAACCGAATATGGAAGAGTTACTGTCATTGGGGTGAGTATTTTTTAAAATTATTTTTTGTTACCACTAAAATTATTCGTTTTTGCAATCTCTTCTTTTATAGATATCTCTTCGCCGCACCTGGCCGTGATGCAAAAGGCCGTCGCATAATAATCGCTAGACCAGGTATATGTTATCTTTTACGTATAAAAAGCGCTGAGTATTATGTATATCAAATCTAATACATATAAGATAGTATTTTTAAAGTCTAAAAGCAAAAAAAAAGTTGACAAAATATATAAATTTATATAAATAATTTTCATTGATAATATAATTATTTTTTAACATAGAAAAATTGTTGGTTGTAAAAATAGGAAGTAATTTATGATAAAATTTGTAATTCTATTGTAAGAGAGAAATCTATATAATTCTCAGCGTCTTCTTTTCCATCACATTTATTCTAATCATTCGAACATGCAATTCAAGGTGTTTTTGATCCTCATAAATATACAAACGTGGACATGTGCAAAATCCATGCCATCACTTATGAGTCGCTAATGGAAGATGAGGAAAGTCAAGTACGTGGTTTTGTGCATTTTGCCGATGGTGCCGGCGTCAGTTTCCCCCATTTGACTCTCTTTACCCCAAAAGAAGCTGTGCGCATCGTGAAAAATGGCGAGGTACGATCAAATGTTTTTTATGATGTGAATAAAACTGATAATCAATAAGTAAAATCAAACTTATGGTTATTAAATACCAACAAATTTGAGGTAGCAATAATACAAGTTTTATTTCAAATTTATTAATTTCTAAAATAATTCTTTTTTTTTTATTCCAAAATTCTAATTTTTCTTTTCAGAGAAATTATTTCTAAAAAATTACCTCTATTTTGTTACAAATTTACACGTAGAAATTAACATACACAGGCATATATATATGAACATCATAGTGCGGTAAATTTATTTAAATTTTTTAGGATAAAAAAAGAATAATTTTTTTTTCAGATATTATGTAATAATTGTACTAAAATCGTTTTAGCATTTCAAATTCTCCATCTTTTAAAACTTTTCAGATATTGATTTAGTTTTGTTTAGTCATGTTAATATCTGTCAAAGATAATATTAAATGGGTACACTGTTGGTTTTACTTTCAAACCATTATTTATCATATCAGGTCAATAAGTTTTTATGTTCCAAATTTTTGCAAAAGCATTTCATTTTCGTTATTGAGACATAATTGACACAATTGTACGTTTCTGGGCCAAGGACAATGTCACGTAATGAAGTTTCTTAATGTTTCTTAAAGATCAGCCAAACCGGTTCTTCAATACCGTCTTTCTCATAAGCTTATTGAACGATAATTCTGTTTAAAGTTCGACAAAAAAGAATAACTTCATATTAACATTAAATTGTAATTTGTTGATGAATTAGACAAATCAATAAGTTATACATTTGAAAAGAGTATACATTTGCATAAATCCTTCAACTATTGAAAAGGAAATTGACTATTGAAATGGATATTCTTTTTACACCAGCAGAAATGTGAGTCTCTCATTGAAATATAAGATAAAACGGAAATGGATTTTGATCATCTATCGTCTTTTATCGGGATTCTCGAAGTAGGAAAATATACATTTTCCATTTAGACAATCTCAAAAAAGAGATTGTTCTTTTTCGATTAAAGAATGTTGAAAGATAAAACAGACAGAGATAAAGTGGTCTTCTTTCAGCGTACTGTACCAATGAGACATAAGGAAGTCCACGCGATCAATTCGCATCCCTCGCTAAAATTCGCCTTGGACTTCGGACTATCATTGATTTCTGACAAGATTAGAAGTCGGGTAAGGATTTATACAAGTCTTGAGGACGCTATCAATAACAAGATGGATGTGAGCATGTTGCCCAAGGAATACGGTGGCACAATTCCCATGAAGGAAATGATAGGTAATTAACACTGTTTACATATCTCTTCGAGTATTATCTCTTATATTACATTCTAGAAAGAATAAATTCTAAATTCTCTTTCGATGTTACTATTTTAATACAGATCTGTGGCGGAAAGAGGTAATAGCACAAAGACCCACGTTACTGAACAACGATAAGATGAGAGTCCATCTAGAGTTGTACTCGGAGAAGGCGCGAGAAGGCGCCGTCTCGGCTCTGAAACAAGGATTCGGTTGTTCCAGCGTAGGTTCTAATGATTCTGCGATGTACGGAATAACCGGATCCTTCAGAAAGCTCGAAGTAGATTGATGTACACCAGATACTCTTTGCTAAATACATTTTTTATCTAGATAATAAGTGGCGCGGGATCGCGATACAGACTGGTTTGGAAATTACAATCTTATTGTTAGATTAGTACTCTGGTATTAAGAGGATATAATTTTATTTTTGTACTATGTAAAGATATAGAGATATCACTGATATGTGTGCATATTATTTAGAATCGCACTATAATAGATATATATAT